GGGCGGGGGGGGGGGTGGACTCTATCCCCTACAAAAAAATGCACTTCTGTTCAGCTTGGGTGGGGGTTGGGAGCACCGCACATTTCTGATGTCATGGGGGTATCGCACCGTCACATTTCTTATTGGGGCGTTTCTTGCGTTGTGGCCGAGATTGAGCTATGTTTCTTAGCCCTTCTTGCTTATTTTTCGCACAAAGTTGGGCCTTTTTTCTCACAGAATTTTTCTTAACCGCGGGCGCTATCTTTATTTGTACGCAAAGGGAAGGGGTGGCGAGTACCGTGAGACGCGGTACCTTCTTTCGAAGACCGTTCATTCGTTTACTCATGAAACTCAACAGAGCCGTAGAGCCAAGCCGCGGGGGGAGTTTCAGGGAACTCTTCGCGATATGTGGAAGGAAAAGCCATCAGGGTAGCTTTGGGTCTCCGCCGTGAAGACAGTGATATGTACTGGTGTTCCTCGGTGCGACGCTGAAATACGCTCGTTTTTTTTTGCTTCACAAGACTGAGACAAATATATGTCACTTGGACTGTCCTCCTTCTTCCGCTGCTGGCTATGCAGTACATTAGTTNGGTCTCCGCCGTGAAGACAGTGATATGTACTGGTGTTCCTCGGTGCGACGCTGAAATACGCTCGTTTTTTTTTGCTTCACAAGACTGAGACAAATATATGTCACTTGGACTGTCCTCCTTCTTCCGCTGCTGGCTATGCAGTACATTAGTTGGCCAAGTACAAACTGGTGTACTGTAGTTGTTTTCAACACGTCCCCGACTGCTGTACATCTCATTTCAAGTATTGTAAATATGCTCGACGTCAACAAACGGTTGCCAGTCGTCTCGGCGATGCTGACTTTTCGTACCACCCCCTTCCTTAGCAAAAGACGCGTAGTTTGGGGTATTTCATCCCTCCTTTGGCCCCGGGGATGGTGAGCTATCGTCCCCTGAATTTTAAGGACGCAACCCCGCTTTAAGGATGCTTGTTCTCGGGAAAATCCATGTGCATCCTTAAAGCGGGGTCGACTGTAAACAGATCGAGGTGGGCAATAAACAGATCGAGGTGGGTAATAAACAGGTCGAGGTGTGGCATAAACACAACGACACCAACAGCCAGTAGACGGGTGTGGCCTGTTTCCGGATCCGACCAGATGAAGGTGCCAACATACCGAATGATAGTCCGTAGGTACGGTCAAAGTGTTCCTGCTTCAGCTGTGCGGTGAGTGAACCGTTTTTTTTCCTTGTTGGCTTCTAAAATGTAGGGACTCGATCGAGCTGTCTTGCCCTTACTTGCTAGAGACTGGTGCAGATTCTGGCATCAGGGGGGGGAGGCACATCTGATACGGGATTGTATTGAACACTGTCAGAAAGCTGACCGAAACAAGGAGTCAGGACACCGCAGCAGCAACAACAGCCAACGGCAAGACCTCTCTTCGCTGGGATCTGAAGGCTGGCTACGGTGTGGTTTTGGGTTTCGATTGTTCGCACATGACACGCCATCTGGGAAGAAGGATGTGCTAACGGTCTCGCCGTGAATACTTGAGCGAGGTGGCATGTCGCGCGTCTGAACGTGGCATTGGGTGGGAAGGGTAGATCACAGGATTGGTGTCGTGTACTCGCCCTCTGCCGTTGCTCTTTGTTGAGCCGGGATGTCAGTTCGACGGAGGCCGTGGGATCGCAAATCCATCCCCGAGAGCGTTGGCGTGGTCGGTCGAACGAATGCAGTGCCAATGAAACCTGCCTCTGCGGTAACGTCGTGGACTTATTTCGGTGAGTGCGACGGTTTTTTTTTGCTTTTTTGTTCATGTGGATGCTGCCGAAAACGCGTAGGACTTCGAACGCATCCTAAAGACACACCGCGCCTCCCTGATGGGAGACCCGTTCATCAAGCTCTACATCGACGACATCTTGAGGACGATGCGCACGCAGGTGGGTCGTCGATTCTCGCTCTCTCTTGCGTCGAGGCAGAGGAGGCACACACACCACCCCCAGCAACGGTTTTTCTTCCCAAAACTGCCGAAAATGAAACGAGCTGCCGCACCGTCACCGCACCGCACGTTTGCACCACGTCTGTCGGGAGGGTGGGCGTGCTATTTCACCAGACCTGCAGTGGGTACATTTACACTTTGCAGCGATTGGGCGTTGAGCCTTCGAGGGCGTGCATCGGTGTTTGTGGTCGGTCGGGGACGAGAATCTCTGGAAGTTGAAGCAGAAGCACTCTCTTTGAGAAGCCAGAGGAAATACTTGTATACAGGGATGTCTCGACAAGGTTTGGGTGTGACTGGCTGTACCCACGTGTGTAAGACAGCGCTATTGCCAGTGCCGTTGGGCCCTTGTCGCGAGGCAGATAATTTTAACTCTCGGCGAATGTTCCTGCCTAGATAGAGTGGTTTCGGCCATTTTTTCTGGTTGAGTCATGGTACCACCGTCAGAGTAAGCACCCGTAGCATTGAAGCTTGATGGCGTTGAAAGTACAGACTGCCAGAAAGTATTAGATGCCAATGTCACACATAAAACGTCGTATGCACTTGTTGGACCAAAGAAAGCCAGCATGATGAGCAACAACACGCACTTCCAGGTGCTGCTCAAGGCAATCGCCCCCTACACGCGGGTGAAGCTTCCCTACCTCGCGGGGGAGCTGAACGACATCCCCGTGACGGACGTGGAGGACCTCTTAGTTTCGTGCATCCTCGACGGAAAGGTTGACGGGAAGATCGACCAGGTGCGTGGCTTGATGCTGTTGCGTGGTCCTCATACCCATCGATCTGCTCGGTAACCTGTTTTTTTCGCTCTGAGCCCAATGATTGTACCTATGCCTTCGTTAACGGATATGCTAATGGTGTACTAGACGCGCCTCCGCAGTGGGCTCATCAGAGCTGCCCATCAGTGACGTTTCCCAAGCTCGAATAGCTCACACAGCTGACGCGTTTTGGACTCGAAGAGCCCAGCGAGCCCCAATGAACCAAGAAGACAAATCTGCATACTGTCTAAAATGGCGAAGAGCAGTGTTTACTGCTGGCGCCGTCCCGGTCCCCGTCCGTACTGTACTTTCGCAAACCACTTGCGTCCCCCGTTACCGATGAACCAGGTGAATCAGGTAGTTCTGTGCGGGAAAGTGTGCCCGGCCGCGGGAGGCCCGGCAAGCTCCGAGGCTGGCGCTGCCGCTGCGGTGGGGTCGGGATCGGGATCAAGAGCGCGAACCGCCGTAGCGTTGGAACGGTGGGCGGAGTCCCTCCGATCACTCAACACCAACATTGCCGCGAAGGTCGACTACCGATGACGAGCAAGCGCCCGGTCGAGGGTGATTTTATGTGCTCGCCGAATAACTCTGCTGCTGCTGCTGCTGCTGCTGCTGCTGGCTGCTGCCGCTGCGGCTGCCGCTGACGCTGACGCTGCTGCTGCTGCTCTCTCTCGTTTGGGGTACAAGCGGACGAGCTGATGTTGTCCAAAAGGACAAGTGCCGATTTGACGAGGGTGTGTCGCCTTTCCCGAGCGTGGGTGAAGCGGAAGAAGGCAGTTTGGTTCACTCTCTCTTAGCGGCAGCTTACGTGCGGTAGTTTGGAGGGGGCGACGGAGTGTGTGTCGGGGGGTGTAACTGCCTGCATCAAGTTCACTTCAACATGTTGCACGTTTTTGCTATGTTTTGAGGATGCTGATGACATCTTGTCGCTGGTGTCCTTGAAATGTTTCCGTGAGGCCCAAGCTGAACCAGACGTGGTGTAAGGACGATGCTAGAGTTTTTTTGTTTTTTTGACAGAAATCAAAGTCTTCGATGAACGGAGGGCACATTTTGAACTTTTTCAACAGTTTCGCTGTCCCCATGTAGATCCCTGTGCTCTTGTCAGTCCGGACCGCGAATGATCGATCGTCGGGCGGATACGAGTGAGTGGCGGAATGGAGGCGTTTTTCGTTTTTGCACCGGGAGTTGTTGCCGCCGAATGTCGGCCAGGGAGGGTGGGAGACCGCCGAACGTAAGCCAAGGGAGGTGTGGGGATGACGGTAGTGAACTTCATTTATTGCTCATGTACCGTATGCGCACGATGATGGAATGTTCCCGTTTGGGTTTACGCACATGAAGGTGAACAGTTTTCGTCCTTGTGCACGGTCTGTTGCGCGTGTTGCATTGTTGTAAATGGTCGCTTGTCTTGAGAAAGTGTTCGATTGTAGAATAATAGCTTGCTTGTTCATAATGCCCCGGAAACGGCAAAATGGGGTCATTTATTAACACCAGCCGTTTCCTTTCTTTCATGCAGTCTTGTCTACCCCCTCAAAAAGCTGTATTTTTTTTTCGTTTGTGCCGGTGTCGATTGTGGGTTGTTTCCTGTTGTGTACCTCTGCTATCCTCGAGGGAAAATATTTAGTCTACACCTACGAATATTTTCACAATTTAGTACGGACGCACCTATTCGACCGTTTATGTGTTGTAGACGTGCGCCAAAAGCGTCTGTCTGGTCTCTGCTCGCTGTGGGCAACGAATATACTCCGGAGTAGCTCCAAAGCCACCGCAGAGTCGTATGTAAATCGAAGGCAGTCCCGCTCACGCCTTAGTTTCATGCGACTGCTGTGGGAGGGCTGGTTGTACGGCACCGCCGGCCAGAATGTGTTCAAGCGACGTCGTTGGCGAGCTTTTGACGGAAAGGCGGTGAGCTGCAGGAGGAGGACCTGTTTCAAGTCCCAATGCACCGTCACTAGCCTCTGAGACTGATGATTTGGGAGCTCGCGATCAAAATGTGGTTCCCCATAGTTCCACAGGAAACATGTGTGTGTGTGCAACACCCGAGAAAGCAGTCTTCGGTATCCACCTCGTGTCCGTGGAGCTACTATTTATACGGAGAGACGTCCCAATTTAGAGCGGCCCAGTTGCTGCTTAAGGTCTTCGTGCAACAAAACACCTGTTGCCCCGCCTTCCCCCGATAACAGCAGCGACCACGTTCACGCACTGCTGCGCAGCTCGGTGTGTGATGGCACAAAGCGGTGTGATACCTGCTGCGTCGAGCCCCGCCTACCGCTATCACCATGATCTCGGGTAGTAACAGGGTGGCTGCCTATTCGGCGGAAAGGTGAAGAGCCGTGTAACAACCGCCATTACCCGAGGCTGCCACTTTGGCCACACTGTTGATTGAGCAGGATCTTGCTGTCTTGAGACGATGATCAGCAGCAGTCTAAAGTCAGTCTGACTCTGGCTCTCCCTTCTGTCTCGTGGAGATGTGCCAATCGTCCCGATCCAAAGGACAGTTGCTCTATACTCTCCGTGGAACCAAGAAATGTCTCGTTCTTCGTGCCGTTCATTCAGCCAGCCTCGAGGCCGCCGTTACGGTGGAGGCTAACACGGGGGGTATCTCGAGAGAGGAAAGGAGTCGACGAATGTTGTTCATGCACGCACGCTTCCATCATTTTTCGTTGTTTCCTGTGGTTCCAGACGAATCCCCAGTTCATGTGACCGCACCGAGCTTCCAAATTCACATCCCTAGATGCCAGAAGTACGCGAGATTACGACCCGTGGCCAGGGGAAGCACGACACAAGACGAGGCACAGCAGCAGGCAGGATCGCAGGATCGCGATCTTGGCCAGAGGCTCCGCGAGTCAAGAACTATTTAGTTGTTGGGGTGTTCAAACGTACAGGCTGTGTGACCCCTAGGTTCTTCGTCTTCGAGATACAGATATGGTATATGGCAATAACAATCAAGCACTTTTGTTGTTGCCATATACCACGGAGTCTTCGAGCGAGCCTTTCCTCGTAGACTGCTGTGTGTAAGCTGGTAGAGATGGAGGAAGGTCAGCTGCTCTTGGAGAACAACCACCCAGGAACAGGATTCCGCCGCTTGTTCTCCAAGGTAACACTGGTTTCACCAACCCAGGGCGAACATAACATTTTGCTGGGACGTTATTCCAGTTCAGAACCTTCTCCCTTCAACTCTTCTCCGATTATAAGACTAGAAATGAAACTTTGTTGCTGAAGTGATCAGGCTCTCTCTCTTCTCGCCTCTCGCCCGTGATGTGTGTGCTGTGCCTCTCTCTGCTCTGCACCCACCTGTGCCGTCCTCTACTGCAACTGCTACTTGCGGTCATCTCTGCTCACAGAATGCGACGGCCGTCTACAGCGGTTGTCTCATGGCCCTGATCGCCCTGGAGCGATTGACGTTCAAGCTCATGGTCGACAGAATGGCCCCCTTCAGGTACGTCAAGCAAGTCAAGGTCAAGCGATGCCCTCGCCAACAGATCAGCTCGGCGCATCGGCGCCAAAGTCGTGAAACACGAGGGGGTTGGTGTGTGTATTGCATTCCCTAAGGGTGGCAGGCAGCAGCAGAGATGTCGACGCGAGGCAGCTATATAGGCAGCAGAAAGGAATCGTCTCTTGATGTTCTGTGTTCATGTTGCCGGAAATGCGCGCGTGTGCCTATTGGCTTGTTCCTCCCTTGGCCCGCATGTCGCACTTTGATTTCATGTCGTCACGGATAGCAAATGCTGCCGCATGTTGATTTTGTTGTTGTCTTCATATAACAAACCGTTCCGGTCTCTGCTCAGTAACTTCTCATGTCCGAACTGGTCCAACTGACGCGGACCCCTTCCGTGGTCACAAGCAGTTGCCCCCAAATCTGTAAGCAAAACAATAAACCACAGCTGTAGTCTAGAGATTTGATCCTGTCGGGTGTTGTTCCCCGATACAAACCCGATCATGGGTGCCTACAAATTTACTAGAGTACCTACAATAATGTCGCACCTGGTTCTGAGTACTGCTACAGTGAAGTTTTATGTACAGGAAGGTTGTATGCTTCTGTACCATGCGGCAGCAGGTGACAACTCTTTACTCTACAACATAGAGCAGTGGTGTGATGCGGAAAGAACGCCGTTCGGTCCTTCACGACCCTCATTCTGTTCGGGGGGTCTTCTTGATTTTCCAAACACTTTTCAGCGAGTTGATGACATCGGTGGTTTCGGGCGAAGCTTTGGCAGTTATGCATGAAGCACTTGTAGGATGGAAACGTATATAAGACACCCTTTCCTCTCCTTCGGGTTCCCGGAATTCACCAACCTGTCAAGCAAGAATTCCTCTTGGTGGACTTTTAGGGCGTTGACGAACAAGAGGGCACCCGAGGATTGGTGGCATCGTCGCTGTTATGAAGAGACACGAGTGCTCCGTCCCGAGTGCCCCACCCGGCGTGCGAGGTCAATGTTCAACCTGCTGCGGCTGCACGGCAATACGTACACCAACACGACCCACGTAGCCTGTTTTCTCAGCACCCTGCACTTGGTGGCAAAACATGCAGCGAGACAGAGCCGATGTCCGAGTCCAAGCTCTATCCCGACCACCCCCCATCCCGACCAAATACACCTAACCAAGGCGAACACAAGGCAAACAGACCCAAAACCAATAGTCTATTTGAAAATACTGCTCGTCAGCCCCACACGATTTAAATGCAACCAAGGCGAGGCAAACCAGACCCCGAAAAATATGAAATCATTGGAAAGTAAAAAGAAACGCCTCCTCCAGGTTTGTCCTGGCGCAAGCGGTGGCCGCATGCTACGCCGTCGCCGTCGGGGTCGTCGTCCTCAAGCGTGTCAACTTAGCCGGGGAGAGGGGCAGCATGCAGGGATTCCCGGTGTGGAGGCTCGCCATGATGGCCGTGCTGGACATGCTGCACCTGGTGCCGATGATCGTCGCGGCCGCGGACGTGGCCCCGACGCTGACGGTGCTCTTGCTGCAGTGCTCGGCGCCCTTCTGCCTCGCGGTCTCCGGCGGATTTTGCTCGAGGTATGCTAGCTCTACAGCAGTACTGCATGGTTCCCAAACGTATTGCGGGGTACTTACAAGGCAAGAACCGATGCGTTGTGTTGCGACCCGCGCTTTTGGGGGAGGAAGGCTCCTGAAAAGTACCAGGCTACAAGTTCTTGTACGAAGGATTTTTTATTCGATCTATCGGGGACCGCGCTATTCGGGACCGCGATATGTCGGGACCAATACTACGGCATGTATCCCGTGTAGATTCGTGGTTGTTTTGGTCGGTGTATGTAAAAACTAAGGCAGCACCTCAAGGGGAACGGTGGGGCAGTAAAAAAAAAATATATATATATAGAATTGCTCCCGTGTGACCGTCCTCTTGTGTGACCCCGGCTGATACGTCGGGTATATACGCCAAAAGGCCTGTAAATCGGCGCCAGAATAGATCGGACGAACACACACACATACGAAAGGTTTTGAGTCTTTTTGAGAGGATATACCTATGCAGAATCACGGAAATACCACCACCGTTCGAGATAACACCACGGCAGTAGTCGAAGGTGATGTGTGGAAGTATTTCCAGTGAACAGAAAACCAGCTGGACACTGGACTTACATCAGCCTAACACTCACAGCAAGCCGAACACTGAATTTTCAACAGTGATTCTATCTAGCTAGTGCTAAAGCGCAAGAACATCTGTGTAGGTATTTTCCTATTTGTTCGTTTTTTGTTGCTTGCCTGGTTGGGGGCAGCTTGTCGTTGCGCGCTAAGAACGTCTCGACATGTTGTTGACGATTCTCTGCGGCGTTCCCCGTCTTGAATTGCGGGAAGATAGACACAACCAGAATCGTAGGCTTGCGCTTCCGACGACCTATGCAGCCGAGCACGACACCGCACGTGCTTTCTTTGGATGCACTCACTCACTTTGTTCGCTTCCTCGTGTGGTGTGGCTCTTAACAACGGTTTGAGCTTGGGGATACGAAGCAGCGTTTTCGATTTTTTTTGCTGGTGAAATGTCAAACCCCAAAAACATTTCGTTTCCAGTTAAAGCAGTACCCGAATATGTTTTTGCCTTAGAAAGTGTCTCGAATAATGGTAATGTTTGTCGTCTCACCCCCAGTGCCTCCCCCTGGTCGATGAGGGAATGGTCGCAGGCAATTCGTGTCTTGGTGATGGAAATGATCAGCTTCAGTACATGAATGGCCTGCTCTGCCGCTTACAAACCCTTGCCCATTTCTCTGCAGGACTGCTTCTTTCGTAGTGCAGGCCACCGCTTGGCGGCCTCCGATCGACCAACCTAACAGTATGTGGGCTCTGCAGATCCGATGGTTGTTGCCTCTTCTAACTCTGTGTTGCTGTCTGTCGTCCCCCTTCTCTTGTCTCTCCCCTCTTCCTCGTTTCTCTCTCTCTCTCTCTCCCCCCGTCGCTGCCCCCTTGAGAAGGAGATACCCCCGAAAGCCGATGCTCGGGGCGGCGGTAATATTCTTGGGCGCGTGCGTGGCGATATATCTACCGATCTCTCGGCTGATGAACGCGAGGGCCACGCTACACGATGATGCCAGGAGCCACGAGTACGACCCGGTGCACCTGCGGGGGGGTAGCGGCGACTACGCCATCGTAGAAGGTGAAGGGGGGGAGGCAGCCTTCTTGATCTTGGGTTTGTGTTCCGGCTATGGGGCTCCTTCCCGTGCCCTGGGTACGATGCGAGCGGACGTTGGGTTATCCCATCGCTTGCCAAGTTGCTTTGCTTCACGGAGGGATGTTTTTATTCTCTTGTTTTTTTTTGGCTGCACGATTTTTCCGTTGCGTCTTGCGTTGGGCGTGTTTTCACGCTCTTCTTGGAGCTGTCTGACGGCATCCTTCCTCGGCGCACACGTGCGGGCGCGTTGACGCTATAGCTTTGGTGCCCGAGTGGGCGGCGGTGGCGGTGGCAGGAAGTGAACCACCGTTTGGTGGACCTCGGGAGGGATTGCAGATGGACCGGAGGCTGCGGGAACGGCAAACTCGGTTGGTCTGTTTTGTTGTGTGTTTTCGCGTGGCAGTCCTTGCCGTTGGTGTCCACGCGGAGGCAGGGGTCTGACTAGGTCGCAGGGCGACGAGGGAAGGTTCAGGTTGGTATGATACGACAAGAGGGAGGGGGGGTATTGAGAACATGTTTTTCTAGACAGCCCGGGCGAGTTTTCTCTCAGCAGTGCAGTGAGTACGTGGACATGGAGGCTTTCGTCGATTGTCTTTTAGCGGAGACCGGATCGAAGTGTGCACTCCGTCCTGACCACCGCCGCCATGGTGCCTGGGCTTTGTTCGGCCCGCTCTGAGACATGATTGTACGGATCAAAAACACGGAGGACAAATCTCAGCTAGTCGGAGCTTTGCTTTGTCTCGTGATAATGTACGGGTCAACAACGCGAAGGACAACACTAGGCTAGTCCGCGCTCTGTCTTTGTATTTTTCTTCTTTTTGGCAAGCAGGGTACAACACCATCCTGTACATGCTGGCGTGCCTGCCGGCGGCCGTCTCCACGGTGTACAAGCAGTACGCCCTGGAGCAGCACGGACGGCCGGTGGACGCTCACCAGCTGAGCCTCGGAGTGACCGCGTTCGAGGTGGTGTTCATCGCGCTAGCGGCGCCGGCGGCGTACCAGCTTCAGGTGTGTAAATTGCTGAGCCCACCATCGGGCGCGTGCGCGCGACTGTTTCTTTGTTCGAAGTTCGACACCGCGTCCTCTCCTCAAGGTCGTTGTTGTTTGCGTCCACTATTAGGTTATTTGGTGATGCCGTTGGCAGACTGGTCGACGTAAACCTGCCGTTTCTTCGATACTGCTCCGTCTTGCGGACTCAAGAATTTGCCTTCCGTTTTCCTTCCACCGCCGCCCCCACCCACTG